GAAAGGCATACATGCTCCATCACTGCCCAGGAGGCTCTTGGAAACCGACTTCTGCGCCTTTTGGCCTTGATAGAAACATTCCTAATCATACGCTCCTGAGCAATAGACATTTTCTTTACAATAAAACAAGAACGAGTTAGAAAATCATGGATATTAGCATAAGGGAAACTCAAATACGAAACGACTACCGAAATATTTCACTGGGTCGCCGCATTTATAGAAGCTCCTTGACATTAATAAGTCTAGGCTCGAACACGGGGTTCCCCTTCTCATCAACTATGGTATTTCCCCCCTTGCCCACGTGCTGGACCGAGGGTATCCCCTCGACAAAGGCTAACAGCTGGTCATAGCTGGCCTGATCTTCAACATTTAGATGTCCTATCTTCACTATGTAATGGTCGGTGCCCCGAGAAAAGTGCTCTCTGTCCCAGTGAAAATGGAACCTTTGCACGAGCTCTCTCCTTGCCTCACCTTCCTCGGTCAGCACAGGCTGCCCATCTAGACCACGCTTGGGGATACTGCTAAAAATGTTAAGGATAACCTTCTCCGATACAAGTTGGACCAAGAGATACTTATCCTTGAAATGTAGAACATATTCGAGATATGCCTTAAACAACTTCTTGCTCGACTGTTTCAAGGAAACCCATCCGAACCGCCCACCAACAACTCCCCGTTGAAGATGAAAGCAATAGAAAAACAGGGAGATAGTGGCCCTAATCTGCAGATACTCACACACAATCTCGAAAGCCCGTATGAAGGCTATCGAGTTAGGATGAAGCTGCGAAGGAGCAAGATGAAGATGGTAGAAGACGACCACCTGAAGGTCGGTGAAAGGGAGCCGAAACCCCATATCTATGAAAATGATCTCATACATAGCAAATTGGTTGACGTTGTACTTCGTACAGATCCAGTCACACTTCCCAGAGACGAAAATGGCCCAATCTTCCTTGGCATTCAATTGCTTTATCCCCGAGGCCACAATTGTAAACACCTCATCCGGGTGCTCGATAAAATATGAGGCGATCTATTGAGGACTTGGTGTGATCCAGTCCTCGGAGGCTACAGAAGCCTCGGGCACACCCTGCACGAATGCACTTGGTTCTGACGCGGTCTGTTAGGAGTCACTCTACCCATACATACTTACTTAGGACGAGTCTTGGTCATATGAGGTTTGATCAAAATAACTTTGTTCGCTCATGATTTCGTCCTCGACAGTGCTAGCCATTTTTCTTGAAAAACAGAGGACAAAAATGAATTCGAAATCAAATCAAATTCACCCTTCCACCGCTAATCAAGTGAAAGGGAACACAAAGGCACGAGGACTATGTCCTCGACCAGAGCCCTTACTTAAACAGCAAAAAGTAGACACGAGAACGATTCCACCTAGCACGTCATACACTTGTCTGCTAAGCTAAACCCTAACCCACACAAGGAATGATCTCCTCAACAATTGGGTTTGAAGTTCACATGGGGTTTCACCAGAAACTCATGAAGTTCATGGTAGAAACCTAGAAACAACCCAACCTCGCCGAAAAACTCATCACAACTCGCCGCCACTGGCACAAAAGTTAGACATCTCCAACAGATTCACGACGGAGCCGACATCCTCATGTGGCAGAACCACCGTCAAACACCAACAAACCACTAGAAAATTCCCCCACTAAGATACATTAATCCTAACTGCATGTATCTCTAAAGGAGAAATCATAAAATCTAGCCTAGAATAGAAACAGAGTTCACAGAAACAGGGGAAAATCAAGAAATTCACTTGGTCAGGGAGGATCAACGACAAGCGAGCAGAAATTGCAGTGGCGGACGGCGGTGCGTTGTTGAACTAAGGAGAACGAGCAGAAGATAGCAAGCCAAAAGTGTAAATGAAACTTCCTCTCTCCCATTTATAGGAAGCCTTAATGGTACGTGAGCGGGCACGCGCTTAGGGAAGCCTAGGGGTTGTCATCATTATGCCCTAGTCCCTAGACTTGCCATCATTACGCATTAATGACAACACATGGCTCGATGTAAGCATGAGACACTATCTCTCAGAGTCCAATCAACCATTCGGCTCCATGCACTCTGATCACACGAGACCACGATCGAGCACCTCGAACCCACCTATCCCCGGACGCATCCTGAAGCATTCTCGCCTCCTCGACACACGAGATGACTCTAAGTCATCACTCCTACGCCTGTGAGCAATAACTTGGGGACTCCTATTCTGGACTAGTCCAATGGCTAAGCAGGGCCCAATCCACTTCTGCATGTAAGACGACCTAATAACCCTGGCCCAATAAAACATAAAGAATAAAGGACACTTTATCCCTTCAGCTCGACTACCGAGGAGTCCTGGCCACCAAGGCCTTCACGATTACTTCTTCCCGCTCATACAGGCTATTTCTTATCCTACCCGACGGCACGAAGATAGCCACCCAGGAACGACCTAAAATCACGCTTTCCCGTGAGACACTTGTCTGCCCGTTGTAACTGCTAGTTACGAGCACGTATGGTCGATACAACGGCTAGTTCCTGGCAGTTATCTATTTTTGGGAAACCTGGTATCCAGACCCAAAAATAAGAACCAATGACCAAGCGTGGGGGCACTATATAAATCCTCCCACTTGTGAGGGCCATGTATCTAATATTCACTCTAAAAACCCTAATCTCATTCTTGTTTCTCTTTGCACATTTTCTTACTTGATCGTCAGAGTGCCTTGCAGGTACACCCCATTCTCTCCTCAAATTCCAGCCTAGCAGACGTCATCTTTCGGTCCACCTTCAGGTTCTAATCAACCGGTAAGATCACTTTCTCATCTCAATCCCTGCCCTCGAATATACTTCTCATCCCCGTATCGGATCTCAGCCACTAGGGGATTTTGTCCTCCATCTCCGTCCCCACAGATCACCACGGTTTGCAGATATCTATAAACATAAATTTTTATTTATCATTTTTAATTAAATTAATAGGAAAAAAATTAAAAACTAACCACAGGAAACTAATAAATTAATCATCTACGACAAATATATTGTTTTAACAATATTTAATCTTGAGATTCATGAACACAAAATTTTCAAACTTCAAAAAAATTAAAATAGTCATTTAGATCTCTCTCATTTACTAACATTATATATGTGTTTTACATTTGTTTATAAAACACGTTTATTTGAAATAATAAATAAACCTACATAAAACTGTTAAATTATATATTAATTAACGATATTATAGAATTCTAGTGTGAGGCAGGGACTTCACGAGGTGGAGGTATGTTCGTCATCCTCATCCCCAAAATGTCTTCATGAGAACTTTATTCTCCATCTCCGTCCCCAAGAGAAGAAAATTTTTCATTTTTGAAACTTCAAACGGAGAATCCTCGTGAGAATCCTCAATAATAAATACTATAGTTAATATTCAACTCACCTCTTATAATATAAAGTGAATCCTAGAAACACAAATGTTAAAAAAAAAAAAAAACAGATTTTGTGTTTCATCTTTGAATTTATTTTAAAGATTAATAGTAATTTATCCTCTTACCTTATATGCGAATTTTAATTTATCTTTCTTTTAATTTTTTTTTTGATACATTCTTTAAAATATAAAAATTCTAAGTCTTTTGTCCTATTGATACAAATATTACCTCTATGTAAAAAAAAAAATTTATTTTCCCCTTTATTTTTACGTGCTTAGAAAATACTCAAAAAAATAAAGAAGTATAATTAAATTTTTTTAAAAAAATAAATTAAAACTCGTTTATATTACAAAAGGTAAATTACTATTAATCTTTTTTTTATTATAACACTTCTAAATTGATCAGCAGATTTAAAAAAATTGAAATAAAAAAATCAACATACTAAAATTTAAAGAAACCACCGACAAATAATCCGATTTGTTGAATTATTTAGTTCAAAGATTAAAAATAGAGAATTTTCAAAAAGCTAAATGAAATCTGGGTTTCTTTACGTGAGCAGATTTTAAAATTTGTTCTGTATGATAGTGACGAATCGGATATTAATCTAAATAAAACTTTTATACTATCAATATTTAAAAAATAATATATATTTTTTTTATAAAAAAACAATATTTATCTAGTCTTTTGTTTAAAGAAACACAATATTTACATATTTATTTAAAGCCAAAAAATAGTATTTCAACACTCATTAAATCAAATTTATGAAATTCATTAATAAAAAAGTACATGTAAATCTCTTTTTCATTAATTCTGTAGACCAACATTTATTACATGTGTCAAAAAAAATCTGAAATTAAATCAAATATTATGTGTCATTGTTTCCTTGTATTAAGCATGAATATCCATATAAACGTTACAACCTAATCAAATTTTCCCTACTCTCCAATCCTCATTTTTCGCATCATTTACTATAAATACTGAAATTAATTTCATTTTATTTTTCCATTAAATATATCATCACAAATTCACAACAAAATAAAATAAAAATCATTTCCTTAAATCTCAAGACTACGTTATAAGTTTATAGTAGGGTCCACCCCCCACACACACACTAAAACGGCGCGCGCCCACACGATGCACCATCCCACACTGGACCACACTCTATCAATACTCCTATTCATCGAATAACCTCTTATAGGAAACAAAAATAGCATGAGGAAAGGATCACGATAACTAAAAAGCACCTTCAAAACGCATGAGTAACGTGCATGGTTTGCATACGTGGACCAATAGGAATAAAGTAGGCAATTATAAAATTATTTTTTATTATTTTTTCTTTAAAATATTAATGTTAAAGTGAACAAAACTGCAACACTGATACAACAGAACAGAACTGAACTCAGAAACACATAAAAACATAAAAACAGAAACAAGAGATTTGGGTTTTCGATCGCTTTAACGTTGCTTCGTTCATTGCGTCGTTTCGTTTGGTTTCTTTGTTTATGAATCGTTCTCTTGAAATTATGAATAAAGATACGTGAATTCCGCATTCCCTGCATTGATATCGGTGGCTCTGAATTTTTCTTGCGTCAGTCTACAATGGAGGTTGACGGTGATACGAGTGTTGGAAATCGAAAACGGAAAAGAGGGTCGTTGAAAACAAAGCTTCTGGTGAATGAAAAAGTTGAGGTAATGATGATGTTATATGATTCTGATTTCTGTTGTTTTAATAAAGATTTGATTTTTTTTTTGTTTATGGATTCTGGGTTGTTGGTTTTGTATTAGGTTTTGCGATGTGGTTTTTTTAGGGTTTTTTTGGGGTTTTCTTTACATGACTGTTGTAATTCTGTTATATCAGAATCAGAATCTAGTTTTTTTTTTTCTGTTTACGATCTTTGATTTTCTGTTCTTGATTTGACATTTCTGATTCTTTTTTCCATAATTGAATTACCATTCATCTCTGTGTTTTCTTGTTTTGAGCTATGTTTGGATTTCATGCAAGTGATGAATTAGGAATGAGATGAGATACTGTTTATAGTAATATAATGTGGACTCAATGTTGTTTCCTTTATTGATGTTTTTTCAGTTTTTGTGATTGTTGTGTTGTATTCGGAGAAAATCTGCATGTTTGTGAATGTGATTTCCTTTATCTGAAATTTCTAGTTCAAGGGTTTTTTTACTTAGTTTTTTTTTTTTTGTTTTTTTTTCAGCTGAGGAGTTTGGAAGATGGTTTTCTGGGATCATGGCATCCGGGGAAGATTATCCGCCGCGCAAGGACTAAGCGTTATGTTAAATATGACAATATTCTAAATGACGATGAATCGGATTACATTGTTGATGTTGTGAGTGTTTCTAGTGTTTTGGATGGTGTAGTTGATTCTGCTTCTGCTTCTGCTTCAGATTGTGGTTACAGACGTGGACTGATTAGACCAGTCCCGCCTCCGATCGAGTTAGAGAGAATGGATCTTCTATTCGGATTTTGCGTTGATGTGAATTATCAGGATGCTTGGTGGGAAGGTGTGATATTTGATTGCTGCAATGGATTGGAGGAGAGGAGCATATTCTTCCCTGATTTAGGTGATGAAATGAAGGTTGGAGTTAAACAGTTGAGGATCACTCAGGATTGGGATGAATCAACTGAGAATTGGTTACCAAGAGGGAAATGGGCGTTTCTTGAGTTGTTTGAGGAGTGTGAGACGGTGTCCTATGTTGCAATCTCGGTTAAACAGATTTGGTATGATGTTAGGATGAGAAAGGATTATGCTGAGACCATTGGAGAATGGACTTGTAATGTGAAAGAATTGTGGAGAGACCTTGTTGTGGAGGTGATTGGTGAGTACTATACCATCACGCTTAACGAGGTTCGGCCCGTCTTAAACCTTCCGAAGAATTTACTCGAAGGAGGGTCATCTGAACCAACTGATAATGTTCACATTGAAGCTAATCATGGTAATGCGTCTGGTTCTGAAGTTGGAACATCTGATAGGCCTAAGGAAAATGCTGATTCTTCAAACTTGTTGGATGCAAATCAAAACTGTGGTAAGACTAGCGTCATTCCTTTGGCGGATGGAGACTGTGAGAAGCAAATTATTTTACATGAAGATCTCGAATCAGATAAGAATAGAAAACGGAGACGTTCTGCGTCTATAATTTGGCAACCTCTGAGACTGTCTGAAGTTGAATTCTGTCCTGAAGTTATTCATGAGTATGCAGTTGGATGTAGGAGCAAGACAGTTCGGGAAACTTTGAAGACGAAAGTAAGGAAACATCTTGCGTTTCTTGGTTGGACAATTGAGTGGACCGAAGACAATTGTCATAATAGTAGACGATACCGGTACATTTCACCGGATAAGTGTGACCAGAAGTGTTACTCTTCGATTTTTCTAGTTACTCAAGTTTTGCAAAAGCATCCCGACATGAACTCTGTGCTGCCCCAGATTGACAGAAATCTTTCACATCGGTTCTCTGATCCGCTCCGAAAGAACAATGATCTAGATGTTTGTCCTCCAACCACTGAGCCTTCTCCAGTTAAAGATCAACTTGAACCAGAACTCTGTCCTCTAGCCGTCGTAAAATATTACTTGCACACATTAGAGAGAAACTCGGCTGAGAAGAGAGAGTGGAAATTGAAGGCGAAAAAACATCTATTAGCAGAAGGATGGATCTTTGACTACCCAACTGGAAGAAGGAGGGCAACTTTGTACAAGTCTCCACAAAATCATTGTTTACGCACACTTCGAGGTGCATGCAGGCTGCACATTAAAGAAAAAATTCCTGAATGGACTGATTCAGACCATGTTGATGGTGATGCTCTATTGCTGAGTGTGTTCCAATTGCTTCAAGAAGAGCCTGAATTACAAACTATAGATGATTCATCACAAACTGCAAAGAGAAACCGTAAAGGCGCAAGGAGTTCAAAGAGTAGTGCACAAAAGAATCTAGAGAAGGAAGTACCTAACCGTAGAGGTGCAAGTACTTCAAAGGCTAGTGCACAAAAGGATCAAGAGGAGGAAGAACTTACCCGGGTGCTAAGATCAAGCAAAAGGGTGCAGAAGGTTTTCGGTTTGTCACATCAAAAGCCTCAAAATATTGTGTCTTGGTTAATAGGTTGTAACATTGTGTTGCCAAGATACAAGGTCTATTACTGGGAAACAGAAGGCAGAAACTCACCTACATTTGAGGGAAGGATTACTATAGAAGGAATTAAGTGTTCATGTTGTCAGAATGTATTTGGACTCAGCGGCTTTGCAAACCATGCTGGTGGAAGCAGTAACCGCAGGCCTTCGGAGTGTATCTTTTTGAAGGATGGTAGGTCACTGTTAGATTGCATGAGGGAAGTAATGCATGATCACAGGTCAAGGGAAGCCAAAGAGAAACAATGCAATAATCCGTTTGAAGGAGAAAATGACAACATTTGTTCTGTTTGTAACTATGGTGGTGAACTTATTTTATGCGACCAATGCCCATCGTCGTTTCATAAGAAGTGTCTTAATTTGGAGGTAGATTATTAACCAGTTTCCTTTTCAATCATGGCATATTAAGTTCTAGCCTGTTGCTATATTTCCTTTCCTTTTTGTGACTCCTTCGGGATTCAGTACTTTAATGCCATATTAACTAACTAGTTTCGTTCTGCATGTGTAGGGCATCCCTGATGGTGATTGGTTTTGTCCATCATGCCGTTGCGGAATTTGTGGCGAAAACAGAATTGAAGAGAAAGAAGATGGACATTTTCTTACTTGCGTTCAATGTGAACATAAATGTAAGCTGATAAACATAGATTTGCTTCAATATTTCATCCATTCCTTTGTGCATAACTATATATGTTGACCAACGGAAATTTTCTTCAACTCTATGTAGATCATGTTGAGTGCCTCAGAAATAGACCAAAAGATAACTCGAGACGATATATGAAAAATTGGTTCTGCAGAGAAGAGTGTGAAAGGGTAAGTTAAATCCACATCAAGTGTTCCACATCTCTTAATACTTTCTAGTTCGACAATGAGCTCTTTCTATATACTGCTAGAGTCAAGTTTCATGAAAATGGCTATTCATTACATTTACGTGTATGCACTTTTGCAGGTCTACATCGGGCTCCAAAATCTATTGGGAAAGCCGGTTTTAGTGGGCGAGGACAATCTAACTTGGACATTGGTGAAGTATGTCAACTCTGAGAGTTGTGGTGTTGGCAGTGCTGAAAATGATCTAGTGGCAGAGAGTTACAGCAAACTAAGCGTTGCACTTTCGGTGATGCACGAATGCTTTGAACCCTTACCAAACGCCTTCTCTAGCAGAGATATCGTGGAAGACGTTATATTTAACCAAAGGTCAGATATTATTATCCTTCAATTCATGTTCATAACATTTTTTTAGGATTCTTTGCTTTCTATGTTTGTATCATACTAAGTTGAACCAGAAAAAGACCTGCATAGATTCTAACATATCTATCGCCGTGGAAAATGGATATTCATTATAAAATTCATAGATATGTTAGAATTTATAACTTTTATTTATCGTATTTGTAGTTAGTGCGAAGTTTGTAGTTTTACGTTTATCATGCATGATTGAGTTGACGCGTCTATAGACATTTATTGGAAGATACTAATTAAAAAGTTTCCTTCTTTTTCACTAAAAATTTCTTCTCTTCCAGCTTATTGCGAAAAATCCATGCCTATATGGATGGCAACACAAATACTGAGCCAATATTTTTGAAGAATATACGAAGTATTTTAGCTCTCGTGAAATATATCATTACGATTTTGGTTATTTGATTCAGAAAAATGATTCTAATGGATTGAGCATATATCTTGTAAGTTGAAACTCTTTTAATCAAACAAGATGGCATGCAAAAACATCACTATACGGTTTGAGATTTCAACTATGTTGGTATTTGTTTCATTTAAAATGTGTGGAATCATGTACACCTTTGAGTTTTTTCATTCCCTAATGGATTTGTTCACAGGTATACATTGTTCATGATCATGACATTTTATCTCAAAGTTGTGCTACACTATTTGTTATATTCGCACCGAGCCAGTGCCTTATACATGTACTTTGGAATCTTTCAGGTCGGAGCTAAACAGACTAAACTTCCAGGGTTTCTATACCGTACTGCTAGAGAGGAATGAAGAACTAATCAGTGTGGCAACTATAAGGTTAGTATTGGATCTGCTACTATTAAGAATCAAATCAAGTAGTAGGTTTTGCACGATTTTGCGATTGCATTTCATTAACTCATATCCTTTTTTAGGATATTTGGGGACAAGATAGCTGAAGTTCCTCTAGTGGGTACCAGATTTCAGTATAGACGACTTGGAATGTGTCGTGTTTTAATGGACGAGCTTGAAAAGGTAACATAAAAATCGTACAAAACGTGTCATTTTATGAACTATATCGAATGATCTTGATATGGCATCAAATTTTAGCATCAAATTTCTCACTTGAATACTTTTCTTGCATCAGAAGCTAAAGCATCTGGGAGTGGAGAGACTAGTCTTACCTGCTGTACCTGGTGTACTAGAAACATGGACCAATTCTTTTGGTTTCAAGCAGATGACTAATTTCGAGAGATCACAGTTTATAGGCTATTCTTTCCTAGACTTTCAGGGAACTACCATGTGCCAGAAACTGTTAACAAGACTTCCATCTCCGGAATCGGGCGTAACAAGAGGTTCGTAACTTTTCATGATTCTTATATTGACAGTTAGTTTGACAGAATCACATCTATAGTGCATATTCTACATATGTGATTTCTCGATATTCACTGTAAATCCAAACATACACGTAACGAAACAGTTTCCTTATTGATTGATTGGATTATAACCTTATTGTTTCATAATGCAGACACTACTCCAAAACAACAAGACCTTGGCTTCTCAGTTAAATGTAGAATAAATTTTGAAAAAGCTAGTCCAGGATCAGAAGTGGATCAAGCAGAAAGGACAGGAAAAATGGAGTTACAAGTTTTGGAGACCTATGCCTAGTTCCTAAGCAACCAAGAAAAAAAAATTCAGATTTTGTGGAAGAGACAGAAATTGTATTGGAGGAGAATAAAAAGAAATTTTGTAGAAAAAAATTGGTTTTGAACAATAGTGTTTAGGCTATAAGTTTATCTTTCGGCTGATTAATGTTCTTGGGATATTTTCAAGGGCATATCACATATGTGATTGAAAAATAATCTAGGTCTTATTGACATGATTTATTAATATACTGTTTATATGACTATGTTGCTTGTTATGGGATTTTCCTACGATTCTTTAAAGTCCATTTCTTTTATAAAAAATTATTATGAAGAAAAAACTTATAAAAACAAGTAAGACATGCTATAAGTTATTTTTATACCAAACATGTCTTTACATTTTACCATGTCTAATTGTGATGTGCCTAAAATAATGACTTTTTTTAGGGGTATTGTGAAAGCTATTAGGAGCCGATTCTTTCCTTTTCAGGCCTTTGGCTTGTTTGGGAGGATATGCAATTTTTATCAATAATGAGTTCATTTAATAAAAAATACTGCAAATCAAGATGGAATTATATAATTGTTGGAAATTTAACTTAAATGATGATTCTCTTTTGATGGGTCAAATTCTATTGTGCGTGTGTGTAGCCTAGTGGTGAGGACTTGGTCTTAAGGGTGTGCTCCTCTCAAAGTCTTAGCCTAGTGGTGAGGACTTGGTCTTAAGGATGTGCTTCTCTCAAAGTCTTAAATTTAAATCCTATTGGACACAAATAGCTTATTAAAAAAAAAGTTAATTAATAATGAGTCATACATCAAAACCTAGTTTTGATTAAGTAATTCTCTCTCATTATATTTTCTCCACTCAACCACTATTTTCTTTCCACTCACTTGAATCATTTACCTATTAATATGATTTCTAAGTTCATTGAAAAGTTACACCAAATTTCTAAATTTTTGGAATCTCTCTTCTCCCTCTCAGCTCTCTTCATCTCAATACAATTTCTTTCTTCTTTGTTTTTCGAGTGGCCTTTTGTGTCATCAACGACTAAAATTCTTTCACATATTACGAGTGGTTTAAACACCATCTGAAGATGTATTTCTTAGGACAATTCATCACAGTGTAAGTGATAATCATAATCCTTTTGTGAATGAATTGTTTTATCCTGGAGGCGCCGTGGTTATAAAGAGCTGCTTTGCATAATTTTGGTAGTACCGTGAAACGTCTTAAAGAAAGTGCATTGTTCCACAACTCAGCCGATAACTTCCTCCGTGACAATCTTTTCAAAAATCTGATAAACAACAATTTTAAGACATTGCTTTAACTACCATGACTACTGAGGAAATTATCGGTACTACTGCGGCTGTTACCGCGACAGGCTAAGATGAAATTTTTCTTAACTTTAAAGAAGGTTGCCCATGTTCTGACTGAGGATATCCCTGTTGCTCCTTCTAGATCAATTGATTTAACTAATGGTAAGAAATATGTGGAATCAAACGGGACTCCAAAATCGTCTGACTTAAACTCTGTTGCAAAAGCTAAAGCTACGACAGATAATTTACAGCTCAGAAAAGAAATCGCCTATGGCAAGATAATGATTATCTTTGCAAGAACTACATTCTGAACAGTCTCTCTGACGACCTATATGACTACTATGGTAATTATGAGACTCCTAAATAGGTAGGAGAGGCTATGCAGAAGAAATACGATACTGAAGAAGCAGGTACAAAGAAATGTGCTGTCAGCTGATAAGTGTAAATTGTAGTTATTTTTGTATATATTTTCTGTTGCACTTATCGACTCTTTGTTGTTAATATCGTTGAATAAACCCGACTTTTGTGTAAATACGTTTAGTTTGTGTTTATTTGTGTTTTTGTGTACATATTTTACGGTTTGATGTTTTCCTATTCATTTTATAGGTATTGATGCGTATTTGGAGCATGAGCAATAAAGTATCGAAGACACGACTTCAAACGCGCGATTTTGAGCAACTCGTCAATAAATAAGGCTCAAAATCAAAGAATAATAAATCATATATTTGGTTGACATTTAGGTATTGTTAGATAGATAATTGAATAAGCTTTCCAACGCTTCAAACCGGACATAAATCGGAGTTACGGTTCTCAAGTTATAGCGAAAACAAAAAGCTGGTTTTTTTCTCATGACAGTAGAGCACGCTTAGCAGGATTTTGCCGTTTAGCGCGGTCTCATGGACATAATTACGTTAAAAGGGGAAGCAAACACATTTTTTAGGTTACGTTTTGGAGTATTTGTTTCCAACTCATCAAACCTTCATTTTTTGGTAGAGAGAGCTTAGAAAACAACTTCGGAGCTTGCATATGGATGATCCGGGGTGGATTGATCATCAATTGGCGCTGACAAACCGGGAGATTTTTGGTTCTATTTGGTTAGGTTTTCTATATGATTTTACTTTGAACTTATGTATATTTCTTGTCCATGGCGTTATATTTAATTTGCTTTACAAATTTGTGTCGATTGTTATCTTAGATTTTTTACTCTGTGCTCGGGGTTTAGGTTGTTATAAATATATACTGCTCCAATATTTATTTAGGATGATTATTTGTTAGTTTCTGGATTCTAGAGATATATTTAGAGCTAACAATCTTTATGGGTTTCTGTAATACGGTGGGAGAACTGACTTGGGTGTTTTACATTTTATCGCAATTATTGCGGATAGCAAGAGTCGACATCGACTTTTCTTTTATCCAATAAAGAAAAGAGTGAAAAGAACATGAAAGACCTTTTGAGAATTTTCTTGAGTTCGGGGGATAGGTTATGAAAATGGAAGGTGTTAGCACCCTTTTCACCCGTAGTTATCTACGGGCTCTTAGTTGCTAGCTCACTTTGAAATGCTTTGTTTGAAATGTGTTTGTGATGGATTTTGAAATTATTTTTGAAAAGTGCCTCCGTTTAGGCGAACTTTGTAATGATTTTCGTCTCTATAAGAATGCATACAAAGTGTTGACTTTTGAAAATATTTTATGGAAAAGTGTTCGTGTGTTTGAAAGATGTTTGAAAAATGGTTGTGAGCAAGCAACTATGAACGTTCTACCTACTCAAAAAGTCTTAGTTATTTTCCTCCTCCTTTAGATACTGCTATCTTACCATTGATTGATAAGAAGCCCTATCATTGGATGTGAAGGGACGGGCGTGGGTCGTCGTACAGTCATAGAAGGCAATATTGTAAGATGCTTTAGAAATTTGTCGTAAGGGTCTAAGATCGTTTACCGAAGGTGTTGTACCCCAAAATTTGCCCTCTCATTCTTCAAGGCCTTTCTCACAAGGATTCTCAAAGTTCAAGCTTGAACAAAGTGCATTGGGATTTTCCAGTACCAAAATTAGGAGGAAACTGTCAAAAAGGGAGAAAACAGATAAAAATATTATTTTGACAAAAATTGGAGAAATACAAGTGTCTTTCGTTTCAGCTCTTTCGACTGGCCTTTTAGCCTCTTTCGACACAAGCTTGACTTGCGTCCTTCGATTGGCCTTTTGGCCTCTTTCGACACAAGCTTGACTTGCATCGTTCGACTGGGCATGGGTCTCTGACACAGTTTGGTTTGGATTCACAAGGAAAAGAGCCTCTTGTAATCTATTTTATTTCTAAGGCAAAAGGATATCTTTTAACATCCTTCGATTTGCACCTCTTGCTCCCTGCATGCCTCTTTCGAATCTGGACATTTTTCCTCCTGTTTGCCTCTTTCGAATCTGGACATTTTGCCTCCTGTTTGCCTCTTTCGAATCTGGACATTTTGCCTTCTGCATGCCTCTTTTGAATCTGGACATTTTGCCTCCTGCATGCCTCTTTCGAATATGGACATTTTGCCTTCTGCATGCCTCTTTCGAATCTGGACATTTTGCCTCCTGCATGCCTCTTTCGAATCTGGACATTTTGCCTTCTGCGTGCCTCTTTCGAACCTGGACATTTTTGCCTCCTGTTTGCCTCTTTTGAATCTGGACATTTTGCCTTCTGCATGTCTCTTTCGTTTGGGCATGTGGCTCCCTTCATGCAAGTCTTTATTTGAGCATTGACCTGTGGTGTGCTTGCTTGGAGTCACAAAGTTTAGACCTCCTCCATGCAGGCTTCGACAAGACATTGACTACGTTTGTACTAGCTTCGACTGGACAACATTCCTCTTTAGTATGCTGCATTTCCATCCTTGACAAACTTCAGCACATGGTTGCTGGACTTGAGGGGCATACATATGAGTCCCTGTCGAAGGGTATGCCTTACTAGTCCATTCGAAGCACACATTTGGCCCCTTCAAACAATGCACCAAGATGATTCGTTCGAAGGACATTTGTTAGAGGAAAGTCAAAACAATGTGTTGGAAGAAGAATCTGGTCGAAGGAGGGTCAAAATGAAAGGATAAAATATTCAAAGATGCTTGCTGCCAAAGTTCAGACATGGTACACTGGCCATAAAACTCCAAAACTGCTGCACAGCAGTCCTGCACTGCTGCCCAATTCCTTGCACCAAAATGGCGATAAAGCATTGTCCCTCGGAGGCTGCAAAGAGCAGTTTACCCAATTTGTTCAAATTATTTTGTTTTCCCTCCAAAAGCTTCAGCCAACTCTGCCTATAAATAAGAGGCTTCAATACATGTTTGAAGAGGATCTTTTGGCCAGTCGAACGAATCTGCAGAAAATTCTCTAAAGCTCTCAAACACTTAAACACTCCAAACACATATCCATAATCTTCAGAAAATTCTCAAGAACACCAAATTTTCTCAAACACTTAAACACTCCAAATACATATCCAGAATCCAAACACATATCCAGAATCCAAACACCTATCCAGAATCCAAACACTTATCCCCTTGGAATCTGAAACGTCCCTATACCTTGTTACCCTTCGAATTCAGTAGGAAGAACCTCACGTTGGTTCTTCTCTTTCGAATCCAGCATCAAAGACGTAGCCCCTGGTTCTTCCCTTCGAATCTAGAAGCATTCAAGGAAACCACTTAAAGGCCCAGCACACGTTCCAGCTTCAAGCAAGGTAAGTCATT